AAACAAAAATAAGACAGACCTTTTTCTATCTGCATTTTGTTTTTTCTACCTATTCTAAAGGTTTCAGGGGGTCCAAGAAGTTTTGGTGAGAAAAGCCTTTAGCTACTTCCTCATATTTTTCTAAGTGTGTTAGTGCTGCATCGCTGTATTGGTAAACAAGGCTGTCAGTGACTCTCCCCCACTCCCTATTTTTAGGAGTCCTGACCATTTCCAGCAATACAGTGCCTTCCCCCTATCTCTCATGCAGGATTCAATCATACCAACTCAGCTTTGGGACTGACCACTCATTATGACTTTTCCCTTCACCCTCCCTTACTCCATCTGAATGTTTTCTCAGTTTCCCATTCTTACAATCCTTAAGATGGGAAGGGCTGGCTTGTCAGTTAAAGTCTGGCCCTGCCAAACTCATGGTCAATACAAATTTTCCAAGGGTTAGCTGCGAGGAGACTGCTGGAGGATTTCCACTCCAATGCAATGGCCATCCACATCTAGGGTCCTGACCTGCTTTCAACACCAAGATAGCATAGCACTACATAAGAAAAGTAGCCAATTTGTCTCCTTAGTTAATTCGGAGACTTAGATATAGCCACAAACTAATCTTTCAAAAGAAAAAAAAACCAGTGAACAAACCAAAAACCGATTTTCTTTTTCCTAAAGTGGTTTTATACTTCCTGCAGTAGCTCTCAACTTTATCTTGCATGGTCAAAACAGAAAAATCCAGAAAGATTTTGGTTCTAACAATGTCTCTGTATCCACCGTCTCCAAAACTGCCTCTTTTTTTTTTCTAATCAGGAGAGAGTTTTCTTGGCAAAAAAAAATGATTAATCAATCAGCTTCAACTCCTTTCCTTTTTGACCTTTGAAACTTAGTATTTGTGTAAAAGTTATTTGCACAGAACCCCAAAGATTGTACCATAACTAATCATAACAGAGCAAACCTTCTTCTTAAAGGAGCTTTGCCTTTCCCCCAATTCTGAGAACAATAAAATAAGTTGAACAGAACAATTTTTAAGTAGCTATTTCTTGGCTTCCTTATATCTATGTTACATGGGTATGCAGGAGCTGGTTCATACTAACTCTCAAGAGCCTATTGTTAAAGTTTTAGTGTGAGCATTTATACTTTGGAATCAGCAAATACTACAAATCAGGACTTGATTTATCATTTCACCGATTGTCAAGACTTAAGGAACTATGGAGAAAAATGTTAATAAAGTAGATTAAAATAAAAATGTGTCATGTGTACATATATATATATTTTATGAAGAGCCGGTTATTAAGCATTTCCCAGCACACCATTGCCTAATCTGAGTGAGCTGCATAGAACTATTAAATTTTTAAAAAAATATATCTTTCCTACTTTCAAAAAGACTTGAGATTAAAAAACAGCAGGAGATAAAACATATCAGAGTCCATCTGAAGGAAGCAGAGGGGGTAGATTATTTCAAACATCTGAGTAAGCAGATTATAATACTCAGGCAGTACATCTGATTAAGTTCTGGCAGCAAAGGCAAAAGAGGAAATGTGTTAAATATGGCAGTTTTCATTTTCTGTTAACAAAAAAACAAACAAATTCATCTCTGGAGACAACCTTTTTCCTGAAACTAGACCTAAGCAGAAATAGATCTCGTGGGTCCTTATATAAAGGACATTGAGTGATTTACAAGATAGTTTCTTTTATAAAAGTTCAGAAATGCTGGCCAACCTAATGATTTTTATGTTGTCACCATATAAAAACAGGGGATCATGTCACTTTAGTAATTCCCAGTTCCATGATTTCATTGGTGCAAGTACCCCCTTCTCCAATTTCATCCAAGTGGCTACCCCCCTCCTCTGATACAGGGCATCTATAACCTAATTGATGAGCTGTATGAATTGTGACCTCTCATCCCACCCAAATTTGTCTCCTTGTAGTCAGCCACCTGGAGATGGACCTCTCTGAACTTACTGCATAACAATAACATATTATATTGTGTGGTCTTTTCAGCTTGGTAGAATTTGCCTGAGAGAGAGGGAGAGAGACAGAGACAGAGAGAAAAAGAGAAAGAGATCTACACTGACATAGAAAAAACCAAGGGCCTCTTGGTCCAGGAGTTAAGAAGACCTGAGTTTGACTCCTGCCTCACACTAGCTCTGTGACTTTCGGTGAATCATCTAAGCTCTCTTAGTTTCAGTTTCCTGGAACGTGCATGTGTAAAATGAAGATAGCAACATTTATGCTATTTCACTCCTATATGAGATAATGTATATAACATGATTTGTCAACTTTAGTTTTACATAGCTCTACATAAAAGTCAGCTATGGCATAGTCAGGTGCCTACTATGTTCTAGGTCCTGGAACTGGAGGGGATATGAAGAAAGACGAAAAGCAGTCTCTCAAGGAGTTCACACTTTAATGTGGGATACAACATGCAAACAACTATGTACAAATAATCTATGTATCTATCTAGCTATATCTAGATCCATAGATACATGTGTGTGTGTATATATATATATATATATATATATATATATATATATATATACATGGATCTACATCTAGATAGACACACAGTATATATGCATGATAAATATACATATTTATGTACCCGTATACATGTATATAATACATATATGTGATAAATTGGAGATAATGAAGGGAGAGAAAGCACTAAAATTAAGGGGAATTGGTTTAGAGCAATTTTTTTAACAGGTATTTGGAGGGGTTTGGGGGAAAGCTCAAGCAAATCACTGCTTTCATCAAATTAAGGGGAATTGGGAAAGGCTTCTTGTGGAAGGTGGGTTTTTAGCTGAAACTTGAAGGAAGACAAGGCAGAGATAAGGAGGGAAAGAATTCCAGACACTGGAGACAGCCAGTGAAAATGCCTTGTGATAAAAGATGGGAGTGTGCATCATACTCATCCTTCTCATCATCATCACAACAATAACAAGCATCTATTAAGTACCTATTGTGTGCCAAACACTGTTCTGAGCACTGGGGATACAAAGAAAGGCAAAAATGTGGTCCTTGATGGGATGGGTTCTCAGAGGAAAGGCATTAATAGTGGTGGGGGCAAGGGCGGGGTGCAGAGTGATGAAGGGCGATTAGGAGAAGCTTCTTTCAGAAGATGAGACTTAAAATGAGTCTTAAAGGAATTCAGGGGAGCCAGAAGTCAGAGGTGAGGAGGGAAAGTGTTCCAGGTCTGGGGGACAGCCAGTGCAAAGGAACACAAGTTGGGAGATAAAGTATCGTGTGTGATGAATAGCAAGGAGGCCAAGGTCTTTGAATCCAATAGTAAATGGAAGTAAAGTATAAGAAGAGTGGAGAGGGAGGAAGGACCAGGTTGTGAAGGTCTTTAAAACCCAGCAGAGAATGCTGTTTTTTGTTCTGGAGATAATAGGGTTATCACGAGTTGAGAGAGAGAGAGAGAGAGAGAGAGAGAGAGAGAGAGAGAGAGAGAGAGAGAGAGAGGAGAGAGAGAATGTGTGTGTGTGTGTGTGTGTGTGTGTGTAGCATGGTCAGACATCTGCTTTAGGAAGATTGCTTCGGCAGCTAAGTGGACAATGGACTGGAAGTGGAAGAGACTTGAGGGAAGAAAGACCAACTAGGAGGCTACTGCAGTATTCCAGGTTTGAAGGGCTATGGGAAAGGGACTTAACAGGAGAGATGTGACTATAGAAAAGACAAGATTGGCAACACACTGGATATGGCGGTGAGTGTGAGTGAGGATTGAAAATGACACCGAGGTTTGAGCCTGGGTGACTGAGGGGAATGGTGGTGCCTTTTGACAGGAGTGGGGAAACTGGGAGGTGGCGAGGGTTTGAAGGGATAGAGGATGACCTCTGTATGGGACATGTTGAGTTTGAGATTGGACAGAATAGGCAGTTTGAGATGCCCAATACACACCTAGTTATGTGAGATGAGGTTTTAGACTCAGAAGACCTGAGTTTTGAGTGGTGGTTCTGCTATTTACTAGCTATGTAAGCTGAGACAGGTCACTTTATCATCTCTGAGCCTTAGCTTCATCATCCATAAAATGGATGTCATTACACTTACATCACCTACCTCACAAGGTTATTGTGAAGGAATCACCTTAAAACCTTATAGAGATGTCATTTATCATCTATCTACTGACCTCACCGGGTTACTGTGAAAGAAGCACCTTTAAAACCCTATAGAAATGTCATCTATCATCTACCTATCTCACAGGGTTGTAGGGAAAGCATTTGGTAAATTTTGAAACACTATTAATAATAACAATATCTAGTACTTTACAAATATGATCTCATTTTATCCTTATAACAACCCTGGGAGGTGAGAGTTATTATTATCCCCATTACAAATAAGGAAACTGAGGCAGACAGGGGTGAAATGACTTGCCCAGGGTCGCACAGATAAAAAAATTCTGAGAATTGATTTGAATTCAGGATTTTCTGACTCCAGGTTCAATGCTCTACTCACTGCCCCATCTAGCTGCATTAGGCACATTCAAATTATTCTTGTTATTGCTATTATTTTTTTTTTCATCTAAATTTTCATTGGAGCCAGAAGCCCTGGCTTCTAGGCTTGATTCTTCCACTTACTAGTTGTGTGACCTTGATCAAGTCACTGAGCCTCAGCACCTCAACAGGCTGTTGGTGAAACTGAAATGAGACAACGCATGGGAAAGTATTTTGCCATTGTAAAAAGTCACGTAATATCAGCTGGTACTAAGATGACTCTGGTGAGCTGTCATGCTTCCAGTCTGACCCCAAACACTGCCAAAATGACTTAAATCAAGATTAAAAAGGAGCTAGATAAGGGGGCTACGCTGTCTGATGCCATAGGAAGCTGGGACCAGACTGTTCCTGCCTACGCCTCTGATCTTAATGGGTTGTTTTCCAGACAGGTTACTTCTCAGAAGCATTAAGAGCCTAGGATCTACATTCAGTCCACAGCATTTTGCTCAGAAGCAGCCTCCTGTTTGTTGGGTGGAAGGATGCAGAGGTCAACGAACTTGGGTAATAGCCTTGGGCTGGTCTTACCTATTCTTTTGATGAGATGGAGCTAAGCAGAACAATGCTCAGTGGTGGAATGATTGTCCCAGAATCCATATGCAAGGCATTATTTTGGAAAAATCCATTCATGCTGCTTATTCATTAGAATATTTTCTGCAAAGAATCAAGAGATTATAAAATGTTAGAGCCTGAGCAGACTTGAACTGGAGATTTTAATCTCCAGATTTTAATTCCCTCCCCATGTGGGCACTGAAAGATCTGATCAGAAATGCTGATCTAAAGAATATCTTGAACCTAAAGGTAGCTTCCTAGGGTGGGGTGGGGGTCCATTAAGCAGGGACCCTGGACCTTGGCTACGTGTGTGTGTATGCATGTGTATGCATGTGTATACAGACACACATATATTCATGCATACATGCATACTGTATATATACATATATTCACATACATATATATTCACACGTATAGTTGTTATGTGTGTTATATGCACATATGTTCACATATGTATGCCTATATACATACGTGTACTGTGTATTATATTTATGGCTATGTGATGTATGTACATATATTCATGCACATATGTAGGTATATTTTATACTCATATACATAGTGTACACAGTACGAACAGACAGTATGTATATATACAAATACACACATACACACATATGTGCATGTGTGTATGTATGTGTACATATAAATGTGTGTGACTGTGTGTTTGCATGTGTGTATGCACACATACACATGTGCATATACACATGGCATATATGTATATGTGTAGGTATGAATTACTTTAGACTTGGCCCAAGGTTTTCAAAACATTTAACAGTTAATATTCTAAGGCTATTAGGATAATCTCACCACATATTTTCCCTTCCTTGGATCAGGCAATTAACCCTAGAGAGAGATCCCATGGGAAAGAGACTTCCCATTTCAGATTTCCTATACATCAAAGTTTCACAGAACTAATCCTGGCATTTGAATGCTCTGGCATATTTTTTTAAGCTGGACTTATGATTTTGCTGGCATAGGGCACTCCTTATGAAGAGAATGTCTTTACTAACCAGATCACTATCTCCAGTAACCTGGGGTCTTAGAGAAGTCACTTGGGGGTACTGAGAAATCTAAGGACTTATCTAGCATCATGCAGTCAATATATGTTAGAAGCAGGACTGAAAAACCCAGGTGTTTCCTGGCTCTGAGACTGCCTCTCCAGAATGATTACTCAGCAAGGGTTCTTATTCGACAATCATGCATTAATTCACTTATTCAATCATTGGAAGACTATCAGATTGATTCTAGATATCAAAGGCTTTGGTATGTAAATTAGTAGGGGGTCCATACATACTCCCCCAGTAATGCCGGACCTCTGTTCCAGCATCAGCATCTGTTGGACAGGGTAATTTGGAGGATCCCTTCTGCCCCTTAAATCAATGATGCTAAGAATAAAGATTGCATGATGGTGGTGGAAAGGTGACCACCTGCATTCTTGAATTCGAATAACTGCACTTTCTACTAAGGTGGGAAGGTTTAGAGGAAGACCCAGTGATGGATCATGTGTCTGTTTTCTGAGCTCCAACCTAGCTAACTTGGGAGAATCTTAAAGCAGGACTGTAGTCTGCCTCAGAGGAGGAAGATCTGTATTAAGGAAAATAGTCTCATTCAGAAACTCCAGCGCTAAGGCCTTGGAGAAGCCTGCGGGGGCTGAGGCCAGTTTTCTTGAACTTTACAGACTGTTCAGTACAGTATGAGAATTCAAGCTTGGACCAAAAGAATGGCATGTAAGATTAGTGTTCAGCAAGTTGAAGAAGCAATAGAAAGATATGTGAAAATTTGAGGCAGGTCATTCATAGGCAAATTATGTAATCTCTGATTAAAGCCTCAATTTTATCATCTGTAAAAATTAAGGCAATAATTCCATGCTAACATGGTGGTTGAGAGGAAAGCATTACATACATGTGAGTTATGATTTTAGCTTTATTGTTTGGGTTCAAAAATCACTGGTATTGAGATAGTATGACTTTTACAAAATGAATGCCCTGAGGATCAAAGTTTCAGACCCTTGGAAAAAAAAAACCAAAAACCATTTCCCTAGAAAAGTAATTGGAAATGGTAAGGGTAAGTAAGAGAGTGAGATTATCATCAAGACTATTATACAAAGAAATATTTCTTTCAATCTCCTCTGTCAGATCTCTCATATATGATTGAATAAAAGAAAAAAGCCCTTACCAAGGGAGGAGACAAAATACATAGGGGAGTAGTGGGCAGGAAGGGGCATTTTTGGTCATGAAATTTATAGGAATGGTAAGTGGGGATAGATGAGTCCAGCTCACACACACAAAGGACCTAGTGACCCTTAGATTCTATAGACAAGGCCCTCTCATCATCTGGTCAACAGGGAAGGATGTCTCACATCCCACAAGTTGGAGAGGCCTTACTTCCCATGGGTAGGACCTTTTATGTCCTTAGATGACCAGGAAGCTGCTTCAAGGGAGGCAGGGTCCAATCAGGTCCTAGGGACAGCTTTGTTGCCTTTTAGAACTTAGAAAATTAATCCCCACTTCAAGGAAAAAGGGGGAACCCTAGTAAGTACTGGTCCTATAAAGATATATGTATCTGTCTGTATACACACATTATATAATATGTAATATAATATATAGTAATTCACATGTTTTCCAGTGGGGAGTGGGAGGGAGACAGAGAGAGAGAGAGAGAGAGAGAGAGAGAGAGAGAGGGAGGGAGGGAGGGAGGGAGGGAGGGAGGGAGAGAGGGAGAGAGGGAGGGAGAGGGAATGCATTGCTTCTGATAATGCTCTCCAATAGGAAAGGCATAATTACCTTGATTTCACAGATGAGGAAACTGAGGTTCTAAGAGATGAAGTAATTTGCCTATGACTACCCAAGGCAGTTGGATCAAAGCCTCTTTTTTTCACGCCTTTGTGTTGCTTCTTCTGCATGTTTATCACTAATCTCTCATACCATTCTTTTGGACCAGATTTGAATTCCAATACTGTACTGAACAGTCTGTAAAGTTCAAGAAAACTGGCCTTAGGCCTGCAGGCTGCTCCAGGACCTTATCCCATGAAGTCTGTGACTTCTTTCAGCCCTTAGGAAGCTCTCTGTTATTATATTAGTATTTTAGCTTTTTTTTTTTGTAGTTTATGGAGAATAAGAGGCAATGCAATTGGGGCAGGCTGGTGTCCCTTAAACATCAGAGACTAGATATTTTTGTTTTTCTTCTTGATTCTTCACACATACCCCTACCCTGCCAAGATCTCCCCTCTTGATTTGACCACCTTCAAATAGGTTTCTGCTAGCTTCGAAACTGACTATACTCTCTTGATTTAAAGCATTGCTCTCTAGAGAAGATTGCCAGTCTCATGTTTAAGGACACAGCACGAAGGATAGAAAGAGGCCGCAGAATTAAATCTCATTTTAAAAGTATGAGTCTAGTCTCTCCCCCTCCCCTCACCAAAGAGTTGTCATACAATGCTGTGCCATTATGTAGGGAGGGAAGTGACTCAAACTACTGCTAAAAAAAAAAAATAGGACTATGGTTAACAGCCCCATGAAACCTTTTACAATCTTGCTAACTGAAACCACAGGGTGATTGACAGGATTAGCCAGGGCTAGGATGAGAGTTGAAAGGAGTTGAAAGGAATGTTCTTCATTCTGTCTCAAAGCTTACACCAAATTTCAGTAGCTACTGGGAGGGGGGAGGGGGAAAATCATTTGAAAAGACTGACAATGCCCAAGAGCTTCATTGACTGTCTGGTTGGCTATGATCTGAATCACAAAAGGGTTGAGATAACCCTTGGGGCTATGATCTAAAAAAGCTGTCCTTCTTACAAGGAAAGGGTGATAGAACAGATTTAATTCAATAGGGAATGATAGCTAGAGAGAAAGAGCAAAGAACAATTCAGTCCAGACATGAGCAGAGGACACTGCAGTGGAGAGAAGAAACTAGCAAAGGACCCTAGCAGCATGTCACACCAGAGAAAATAGCTCCCAGCCCTATGACATCATTTTATCATGTGACGTTATATGGCATCTTCAGCTCTGAAGAGAAGCAGAAGCATCCAAAGTGTTGCAGCAGGACACCATCCTAGCAGTATGAATTGTCCTGGCTATACTTGTTCCCTGGCCATGAGAGTTCCCTCTCTCCTGGTGATATTCTGTGAGTGAGTGTATGAGAATTTTTCTTGTCCTTCATTTTGCTGTGCTGTTTAAATATTTTTTGCCTTGAACTCATTATTATTATTTACCAGTATGTCCTCCAGTTGATATGGTAAAATTGATGGGGGCTTAAAAACTTCGGTTTCGCATGAATGCTGATTCTAAATGTGCTTTGAACCTAGGGTAGTTTTCAGGAGGCTCACTAATGAAAGGGTTATGAGCTTCACTTACAATATTACTTCACACATATTCCTTATAAAACATATCTAAGAAATTTATTGATGTTATCTACTTTAATGTCAGTTTTCCCTCAAGATTTTCCCCTATTGTTCACTTTATGGCTCCTTCCTTCCTGATGGTAGTTTCCCTGGAGGCTGTATCTCAAAGCACCTCAAGCTCCTCCCATGCTGGACAATTCATGGTTCACCGGGCCAGGTCTCTGCCTTAAGTGACTTTAGGAGGCACAGAACTGGCTCCAGCTGGATGCTGAACTCTTTTCCTCAGGCTTAGTAGAGAGCCACACAGTCCCCTCTTCCCCCCCCCCCCCCCCAATGTCCTAGCATGGTTTCCTGTCCTGCTCCCTTAGTTTCTCAGTTCTCTGGCCCAGCATGGGTCATTCAGAGACTTGCCATGCTGGTGCTATGGGGATTGATTTCTTTAGTTTAGGTCTCTGAGGCTCTGCGAGAGAGAGGGTAGAGTGGGGGGTAGGATAGGGTTGAGCTCTGTTTCAAGCTCACTCATGTGTTTTGTCCCTTTCCCTCTGTTTTTCAGGTCTCCTGCAGAAATCTTTTTCAGCACACAATGCTGCTGCCATGGTGAAGGCTGTCTGTGTCAGTTTAAACAAACTTCTGCAGCCTGACATCCAAACATCTATAACACTGGACAAAGAGAGGGAAGACCAGGGTGTGGGATTATAAGCCCAGGTATTAGGTCACTGGGTTGTGTTGCAAGCCCATGTGTTGGGTTCATGGGTTGGTTAGT